TATTTGTTTGTTTGTTTGTTTTATTTAGTTATATATATATATATGTGTTAATACAACTATAGAAATAATAAGAGATAAGACAATAATAMTAMWAAAAATAAAAAAGTGTTTATAATATCTATCAAACTATATATATATATATATATATATATATATATATATATATATATATATATATATTGAGAAACTTATAATCAAATGTTTTATAACTAGAGAGCTAAACTAAATAGCATTAGAGAGAGAGAGAGAGAGAGAGAGAGAGAGAGAGAGAGAGAGAGAGACTAAACTAAAATAAGCTAAAAGATAGAGAAATAAAATATAAAATAAAAAAAGCAAATAAAAATCAACGATAAAACAAACAAAAATTAAGATAAATTTGATTTAATATTAAATATATTTAATACACACATTATTATTATTATTATTATATCGATAAAAACTTTTTATTTATTTTTTTTATATAAGAAAGTTTAGTAACTAAATAACTAACTAATAATAATAATAATATAAAATATCGGATTTTACTCTATTTATATATATATATAAATCTAATATAAAAATAAGATATAATATTATATCTCTAATGTCATTAAATTAAATCAGCAAAACTCATATCATATCTCATCTAATATTACATAACATATCTGATTATAGATCACTTGGATTATCAATTATAGTCACACACACACACACACACACWCATACACACACACATACACATACATACATACATACATACATACATACATACATACATACATACATACACATACATACACACATACATACACATACATACACATACATACATACATACATACATACATACATACATACACATACATACACATACATACATACATACATACAACATACATACACATACATACACATACATACACATACATACATACAYACATACACAYACATACACAYACATACAAACAAAACAAAAATTAATATATATTTATTTGATATCAATATTATTATTAGTAAGTTAGTAGTATTAATACTATTTAGTAATTTTGTTTTATATATTATAGTTAGCGATATATGATTGAACTGAAAATTAATATTATAATAATCTCTAAATACATTATTAATGTTTGAAAACTTTTTTTGTTTGTTTGTTGTTAATGATTAGTTATTTATTTATTAGGAAATATAAGGTTTATATATATATATATTATATATACTTATAAAATATTTAATAGTCAATATTAATCAAATATCTTCAAATACTATACCTAATAAAATATAAAACTAATAAATAGAAAACATATATATAAATAATTTAATTATCAATATTTATTTATTATTTTTAATTTCAAGAAAAAAATTTATTTATTATATATATATTTTTTAGTAATATATAGTAATATAATTGCATTTATAATATTTATAGAAATATCTAAAACAAATAAGTTATTTAAAAAAATTCAATTAGTATTCATACTATTATACCATAGTATATACAATATATTAAATAAAACAATAATTAAAGTAATACAGTGAAGTGACATTCAAGGGTAGCATAAATTTTATTTATTTTATTTTTTAAATTAACACAATGTCACACATTTTATATATATATATRTAAAATAATAATAATAATAAATAGGCAAAAAAATATAWAAATAAATTTTAACAAATAAAATAATCAACTAACTACMCTRGCTATAATTTATGTGCAAATTTTTTTTTTAAAGTAATATTTGGACATGTTAAATAATAGACTAATTTAATGGTATGCACACACACACACACACACACACACACACACACACACACACACACACACACACACACACACATACATATATATACATATATATATACTGTACATGTCTATGTAAATCTATTTCAATTTGGTCACCCCTTTCCCTAACACACACACACACACATTAAATCTACTGTTCCCATACATATACAATACTAAACAATACAATCCTAGTTAATGTGTGCAATGGGAGTACCATATAAAAAATGATGTCATTTTATTGCTTATATATACAGTATATATATATCAGGGTTAAGCAAGGTTTTGGATTTTAGGGGGGGTAGACCGGGGTAAAATTTAGAAAATTCTCAAAAAATCTTGGGGGGTATTGGGTGGGGTAAGATTTTTATTGCATTTTTAAACGGCAATTTTTTCAAAAATCCAAAATCAAGGGGGGGGGTCTAGAGAAAATTCCCTAAAAATTCCTTAAGTTCCCGAATATTCCCATGTAAATTCAATAAAGTTCCCGTATAAATTCCCGGGAAAATAGGTAAAATTTCCAAAAATATAAAAAAAAAACTTAAAAAACTTAAAAATTAACAAAAATTTAAATTTTAACAAAAAATAAATATTTTTTAAAAAATTTTTTTAAAATTAATAAAAACTTAAATTTTAACAAAAAAAATAAAATAATGTATTTAAGATTTAAAAATAGTTGATAAAAGCATTAATGATACACTATGAGTTATTTTTAGTATTTTAATAATTTTTAACTTTTAACATAATTAATTTTTTAAACAATACTTAATGTTTATAGTTTGTTATATATTTTTATTTTTATACAAATACTGACTGAATACTACTTATTTAACTCAAATTTCGTTAAAGTTTAATTATATTAAGTACAAAATTGAAAATATTTTTAAATTTTTTATTTAAAATTTAAAAATTATTAATAAAAACATAAGTATTTATTGTTTTATTAACTTCTTAAACTTATATTTAAATTGTAATATGATTACTCTTTTCAACAAATAGGTAATTTTTAATTTTTTAGTTTATTTTAATTAAAATAATGTTATTTTTTGATGACTTTTAACGTTATTTTAACTATTTTTAATCAATAATTAGATTTTTATAAATATTAAAAACATAAAAACACTTACTAAAATATATATATATATATATATATATATATATATATGGTCAAAAAGTCTGGGGGGGGGGTAAAATCCCAATTTCTCGATCTTAGGGGGGGTATTTTGGCCTTACCCCCCCCCCCCCCCCTTACTTAACCCTGATATATATATATATATATGGATAGACGCGTCCTCTCCTCTCAATTGGCACTTATTTTTTTTTGTTTGTTGTTGAAAATCACTATATATTTTTCAAACTAACGCTTTTTAGCTGCCAGTGTGTGTGTGTGTGTGTGTGTGCCATAAACTCCCTGTGCTCTCACTCATTCACTCACTCACCCACTCATTCACTGTTGCTGAGAGACGACACAACATTTTTTCCTCTTATATACAACTCTTATATATATATATATACTTCACTACAATATACAGTGTATAGTAAATGTCTCTTTAAATCCATTTACTCACTCACCCGCTCACACACACACACACACACACACACACACACTAACTCACTCACACTTAACTTATTTATCGTTTTTTATGTTATGTTTTCTCACTTTTCTAATATAAATTCAAGTATAATATACACACACACACATAGTCTATACTATATATATATATATGTGTGTGTAATACAATATAAGATTTTTTATTTGAAATTTATTTTATTTTTTTTTGTAAATACTATTTACTAAATACATAGATATATCGTATAATATATATATATATTGAAATTTTCAASAAAAAATAAATCCAATAAACAATAAATTAGTTTATATATATATACTGTATATATTTGAAAATAAAATTAACAAKATAAAATATATATATATATATAATACTGTATTTAAAAATAAATTGTATTTATAATAAAAAAATTTTTTAATATATTATTTATTATAGTTATATACAGTMTATATATATTGAATAGTAAACTAACTGTTCATTTATCACAATTATAGTAGTATTGCTATTGTATTATATTATCTGATAAATAAAACACAAACACACAAAAAATCGCTGTATGTATGATAAGGTTAACTATTACTCTAATATTTAATGTCTTCAATAGTATTATAGTAAGTGTTAGGGAACGGTATGTCAGTTACAGAGTGAGTGAGCGGAGAGAGAGAGAGAGAGAGAGCCGTCAGATTGTATTGTTGTTCAACAGAATCTCAATCAGCCGTCACTTTCAAGAAAACATATACTCTCTCTCTCTCTCTCTCTCTCTCTCTCTCTCTCTCTCTCTCTCTCTCTCTCTCTCTCTCTCTCTCACACACACACACACACACACACACACACACACACACACACACACACACACACACACACACACACACACACAGTCACTCACTCACTAAGCGCACAGTTAGCACACATACTCAGGGATACATTGCCTCAACAGATTTAGGTGTCAGTCAGTCACACACTTATACTATASTATTRTAATATAAATAGATATTTGTTGTATTAGATGATAGAAATCCGGGGCAAACAGTGTGTGTGTGTGTGTGTGTGTGTGTGTGTGTTAGCTCCTGTAGCTATCAAATAAAATAAAAATTAGATATCATGTGTGTGTGTGTGTCAATGCTATTACCGTTTGCTTCACTAAACATTAAGCTATATATAAAAAATAAATAAAATTTCATACCTATCCTCCCCCCCCAAAAAAACACTCACTCGCTTTACACACTAATCGTATAGTTGTGTGCTTAGCCCAGGGATGTGTCACCACATATATCAACGACACACGTTTAGCCATCAATTTTTTGTTGTCGATATTATTAAGTATTATTAGTATTACTAAAAAAATAATTAATAAATTTCATAATATATATTTTGTTTTATAAATACATATTTTTTAAAAAAAATTATTAAAAAATATATACTAATAAAATATGGGCTGTAATTAAATTTTGATTAACAATAATAATAATAAATAAAATCTAATTTTAAAAATTAGTATTTAATTAAACACAAAATTGAAAAAACCACTATATATTTAGTAATTAATTATTTAATTAATTAATTACTATTTAATGTTATCAATAATTATTGAACTAATTTTATAACAACAAAAAAAACATAAATTTATTTATTTAGTTATTTTCATTATATTAATATATATTATAATACATTCAGACAATAGTCTGTGCAAAACCTAACCGTTTTTGGCCCAAATCAAACACTGTATAGTAGGGACCGATAAAAACGTCGCCCAATATCCACAATGGACCGACATGTTTGGGTAGATCCAGGCCCAGGAAACCCGATATACATGTGCTCGARCCCAGTGTAGTCATTTTGAGGACATACTGTTTGGGTGTCAGACGAAATGGTTGGCCACCGATAGTAATGACTATATCGGGCATTTTGTCCATATCGGAGCACTTGACCTGGTATTGACCCATAACTAATGGTTGGGCACCGATTAGTTTGTTTAGCTCCCGGATTTCGGCTGTCGGTCCGGCAATCAGCGAAGTTCCCGTATCGGCAATAGCCTGACAGCCGCCCGAACAAAATTGACGGCTCGGACGGGTGTTAGCTGATTGCTGGCCACTACTACCACTACTACCGGTGCCGACGTCCACAGATATGCCGTCCATAGTAAACTGCCAGTACCCGGGTTTACTAACCGGTACATAGGTTATATTACCGACATATTTATCGTGATTAATACCGCCAAACATAACCTCACCGCCACCCGATTCCCCCCGATTAGGGGGACCACCTCTACTCAAATAGAAACTAAATACAGGTTCGCTGACCAGCCGCTGGCTGACCATATTGGTGAACACACCAGCCACTCGATTGACCGATATCTGGTCAAACCCTAGTCCGAGTATACCGTCAAACTTTGCGGCTACAAATGCCAGACCCGGTTCGCTAGTAATTTCGCCAAATGTTTGGCCAGTTATACGTAGGGGACCGTCCGATTGGGCTCCGATGGTCAGCAAATCGGTGCTCAGATAGCCGCGTACACTGCCCGACCCGTAACGCATTTCCAGTTGWGTACCGTTTTGCCGATAAGTCGAYGACTTTCGGGAGTCATATTTGTTGTGCAATAGACAGGCCATATCTGTCCAGCGACACTGTTTGGACGGTACCCATAGRTTAGAGCTACCGGTGTCGAAAACTACGCGAAACCATTGCGSGGGTGTACCCAAACCAATACGGCCGTAGTATTGGGCATCCAAATAGTTGGACAGTGGTTCGGGTATCGGTCGGCCCGGTTGGTAGCCTTTCCAACGATCGGYGGGTAAGAATCGGTCGATGGCTGTCCCGACCTCCTGGAGGTGACTCCTGACGGTCGGCATCTTGTGTAAGGGTATCCGATAGACACCTTTACCGCCGATAATGTTGTMTTGTTGTTGGTGTTGTTGGCCATTGCATCGGTAATCAACGGTTAACAACAATATGATTGAAAATAATGTTAGTATTAATAACATAATTATAAAAATTGTTTTTTTTATATTTAGATATATTTTATTTATTTTTTAAATTTCATTTAAAACCAAATTCAACAAATAATAAAATAATTTTATTATTATATTATTATATTTTGTAATTAATTAATAGATAATTATTGTTTTATTGATATTATTATTATTATTTTAAAACAATATATATTTATAAACTTATAAATAATTAATTACCCATATATTTAATTTTATTATATAAATTTATAATTTAATATATCAATTGTTATTATTATTATATAATTATGATTTTTTTTTGAAATAAAAATAATACATTACTATTTTTTTTAAAAATAAAATAAATTGTTTATTTTTGTTTCATTTACTAAATATAATATTTAAAAACAAAAAATTATAAACTATAAGATAATTATATCAACAAYTAAATAAATAAGTATCTAATTTATATATTTATTATACATTATATTTATTTAAATTACAAATTGACTATTATTTTTTTGTGGTTAAAGTTTGTATAATTTATATTTAATAAATACATATTAATTTTTATTATCAAATTTATTATTAATAATTAATTTAAGTTATTAATAGAAAAAGTACATAAATTTTCTATTAATATTTTTAATAATTTTTAAGTTTACTAAAAAATATTTTTTTTGATTATTTTTGTTATAAAAATTCCAATCAATTATATTATGTTTTTTTTTTGTTTTATAACTTAATCATTATTATTGACTTAATATTCAATATGAAAATTGAGTAAAAGTTTATCAAACAAAAAACATAAAATGAACTTGACACTACTTGAATATAAAATTAATCAAGGTTAAAAAATACTGTTATAATAATAATAATAATAATAATAATAATAATATACAATAAATGTCACATATATACAGTTACAATATACAGTAAACTTAATAATAAAAAAAAATTATAATAATTAATTTAAATTAATTATTATATTTGTTTTATTTTAAAAAAAATTAAATATAACAAATTGTTTTTAAAAACATTATTATAAATATGTATTATATTGTGTAAACATATTTATAAAAAAAATTAATTATAATTATAAAATAATTTTTTTTGTTAAAAAAATAAATAAAACATTATTTATGTGTTAAATGATTAAATATATATAAAATTACTATGGTAATTTATTTAATAATATATTATTTTTTAATAAGGYAACTTTAGTATACAATAATTTTATTAATATTATTATTATTATTATTATAGCAATTTTGTTGTTTATTAGTKTGTAAATGATATATGATATCTAACTATGAGTTAAACGTAAAATTGTGTRTTAATTAAAATTATTAAAAAAAACAATTTTTTATTTGAAAAAAATGTGATTATTATTAWATTTCAAATCTATAAAATTATCAAATATTATCAAATAGTATTATAAATAATTATTTACTTATTTATTTATTGAAAATAATTATTACGTTAATTAGTTATATAAATATATAATTTTTATATATTTAATAATAATAATAATAATAATAATAACTATATTATTATTAATAAGTGTTTAGTAGACAMCCACMYCATACCTATACCCTTACCACTTATATCTAACCTCCCCCTCCCGCCGCCCCCGCCCCCCGATAGTCATCCAAACCGTGCGATGATATCGGTAACTAATAACGGTAGTGTTGCCGCCGGTGTCCACAATACTATCATAACCTCAACAACCGCCGCCGCGGCCGTCAATAGYATCGGCGGTACTGGCGGTACACATATCAAGCGTATAATGAAAGACTTACAGGAGTTTTATCGGGAAAAYTCTGAGGACATCTATGCGGTCGCCGAAGATAACGACCTGACACGTGTGCACGCATTGATACGCGGACCGCAGGGAACGCCCTACGAGAAAGGCTTCTTTTATTTTGTATTAAAGTATGTATCTATAGATGAGTGGGACAGTCATGCATATGATATACTCTTACCTATACCTAACCTAACTAACCGATTGTATCCGACTCTCACTTTCATCAATTGGCTAACAAAACCAGATTTCCGACTAACTATCCGTTAAGTCCGCCGTCAGTCAAACTGATGACCACCAATGCCGGTACTGTACGCTTCAATCCCAATCTGTACGCTTGCGGTCGGGTATGTCTGAGCATACTGGGCACTTGGACAGGTATGTATTCATGGGGGTGGAGGGGTAGGGCGAGTTTGATTGATAGTAATAGCAAATAACTAACTGTCCTCTCTCTCACATACAGGTCCGGCCTGGACGCCGGCACAGACACTGTTTACAATACTACTGTCCATACAGTCGCTGATGAACGACAAGCCCTATCATAACGAACCGGGCTATGAATTGGACGAACATTATCTAATGTTCGGTAACAATGATGGCCGTAATGTTCCGAACAGTCTACTGGATCCKGCCGTCAATAGCTATAACGATATTATCGGYTACGAAACCATACGGGTGGCCGTCGTGGGTATGCTAGACCTGAACAGTGTGGACGCCCGTAATATGCCCGTAGTATTGCGCAACGTTATGCTGGCCGCTTTCCGATCGGATTACGACTATTTTGAACGGACAGTCCGATCGCGATCGGCAACAATGGACGGCCAGCGACCGTCGGATCCGTTTGGCGATTGCGATCGGCCCCAGACCTTTGAATATGGCAAACTGTCGGCCCAATTGGCCGGTTTGATGACAACCTACGATAGTATTGCCAATAGTTTGGTCTCAGGGGAGGAGGTGGCGGCTGCGGCGGCAATGGTTACCCATAATAATACAAATTTATCGGTAAATCTAAGGGACAGCCAATTGGCTAAACCGTATTTTGAAATGGTAGACAAAATATTGGCGCCGCCGCCGCAGATAGTGTCCAATATTGCCGATAACGGCGGCGGCGGCGATGATGATGATGACCAGGGTTGGGAATCAGAGGGCAATGATGACCTCATTTATGAGGAGGACAACGATGATGATGATGATGGTGCTGGTGTTGGGGATAGGGATACATTGAGGGACGGTATGATGGATCTCTAAACTGTGTGGTTACCTGCCCACCCCCTCCCTCTCCCCTATAATCAACAATGATATGTATTTGTGATACACATTAATTATAGGGACCATCTAATGTATTTAAAAATAAATTAAAATATAAATTATAATAATATGTTTTATTATTATCTAATATCTGTTAATATACTCTAGTATTTAACTATTATTATATACGGATATAATTATAGCATTTAAATTACATTATTATTATTATTATTATTATTATTACTATATTTTACTTACATTGTTAGTATTTATTATTATAATTAAATAATATGTATGTGTATTAATAGATATATATATATTTAACATTAAAAGTACAAATTTTTTTGAATGTATTTAATATTATTTAAGATATATTTATTTTTTGTGTAAAATAATTAAATTACAAAATAACAAAACATAATAGTATTTATATAATATATATATTGATTTATAATTATAATATATAATTTAATAATATAAATATAATAAAAATCAGTCTATTATATAACTATATTTAATTATCAATAGTTATTTTATATTTAAATAATAAACATTATTATTATATTTTAAAATAATATTTCAAATAATTTTTTTCAGATAATTTTGTATGAATTTTTCAAACGTGAAATATTATTATTATTTTTTTGTAACTTAATCATTAAAATTATTATTATTATTATTATTATTAAGATTGACTAAAAATCAATGAATTAAAGTTTAATTTATGATTTTTCAAAAAAACAAACTTAATTAATCAAGGTTAAATAAACATTTAAACTTATAATAATAATAATAATAATAATAATTAAAAATAAAACATTACTAAACAGTTAATAAATTAATAGATATTACTAATAATAACTAATTGTGTTAAAATATTTATTATTCAAAAATAATTATTACAAAAAATTATGTAAAACATTTTATTAAAAAAATAAAAAATAAAATTATTACACAATATAATTATAAAATTTATTTATTATTAAAAATAAAAAACATAACATTATTTATGTAGTTTATATTAAATATCTAATATAATATAACTATGGTAATTTTTTTTAAAAAAATAATAAATATTATTTTTATTTTAACTATTTAATAATAATAACACAACTTTAGTATATATATATAAATATATATATATTAAAAAAAAAACTATATATAATATAAAGTTTAATAATTACTGTATAATATTTAACTCATGTTTTTTTTGTTGGTGTTATATGTTATATGATATATATATCACGCGTTTTTTTAAATATTAAACTAAATAATAATAATAATTGTGTTAAAAACATTAAAAAAAAAAATTATATTTTTATTGAAAAAAAAACAATTTAAATGTGAATTTTTTTTTCAAAATGTAATTATTAGTATTACAATTTGCTATATATATATATCAATAAATATCTAAAATATTGAAATTGGTTTACTATTTTTTGGTGGCCTAGTGTTAGTAAATTAATTACCTGTATATATATATAACTGAGAGAAACTCATATATTTCTACCCAATACCACCCCCCTCAAAAAACCCTACCTCCCACTTAAACCCGAAACAGTCATCTATATACTACTGTATAGAGACCTATTGTATGGTAATAATGATGATGGCATCAGCAACAATGTCTACAGGTGCTGCCCGAGTGAACAATACCACTACCACCAATGGTGGTTGTGTTGGTGGTGGTGACGGTTCCCATATCAAGCGTATAATGAAAGACTTACAGGAGTTTTATCGGGAAAATTCTGAGGACATCTATGCGGTCGCCGAAGATAACGACCTGACACGTGTGCACGCATTGATACGCGGACCGCAGGGAACGCCCTACGAGAAGGGCTTCTTTTATTTTATATTAAAGTATGTATATATCTATAGATGAGTGGGACAGTCATATATATATGATGTATACTCTTACCTATACCTAACCTAACTAACCGATTGTATCCGACTCTCTCTCTCTATCATCAATTGGCTAACAAAAAAAAACAAACAGTTTTCCGACTAACTATCCGATAAGTCCGCCGACAGTCAAACTGATGACCACCAATGCCGGTACTGTACGCTTCAATCCCAATCTGTACGCTTGCGGCCGGGTATGTCTGAGCATACTGGGCACTTGGAACGGTATGTATACATAATTATAATAAGCAATTAAGATATTTATTGATATTTAGCTAACTAACTAACTGTCCTATTTTTTTGGCTAACAGGTCCGCCGTGGACAGCTGTACAGACACTGTTCACAATACTACTGTCCATACAGTCATTGATGAACGAAAAGCCCTATCATAACGAACCGGGCTATGAATTGGGCAGCCGTTTAATGTTAGGTACTAACAGGGGTAACCCAGACAACATAACCCAGGCTGTCAACAGCTATAACGATATTATTGCCTACGAAACCATACGGGTAGCTGTCGTGGGTATGCTAGACCCGTACAGTGTGGACGGCCGTAATATGCCCGTAGTATTGCGCAACGTTATGTTGGCCGCTTTCCGATCGGATTACGACTATTTTGAACGGACAGTCCGCTGGCGATCGGAAACAATGGACGGCCAACGACCGTCGGATCCGTTTGGCGATTGTGGTCGACCGCGAATGTTTGAATACGGCAAACTGTTGGCACAATTGACCGGTTTGAAGACTACCAGTGCTGGTCCTGATGCTGTTGATACTGATGCTGGTCAGGTGGTGGCAACAGTGGTCACCAATAATAATAATTTATCGGTAAATCTACGCAACAGTCTACTGGCCAAAGACTACTTTGATATGGTCGACAGGGTATTGGCATCGGCGCCGACATCATCGATGTTTAACTATACCGAAAACAATGGCACCGACGACGATGACGACTTCTGGGACAAGATGGCCGACGATTGGCTATATCCCGACAATGCCGGCGATCTCGGCTATGAGGAAGAGGAGGTTTAGGAAGTGTATGCTTGAAAAGGGGAAACGGTATGTCCAAAGTTTTTTGTTTGTTTGCCTGTCTGCCTAACTGTCCCTATCATACCTACACACACACACCCACACATACAATAGGACCCAATGGTTATTATAATTTGTTTTTTTTTGTGGACATCTACTACACATGTAGTATTATTTATAATATAATTATAATAACATTTAATTTAATTAGTATTTAAAATAAATAAATAAAATAAATATTTAATATTATACCATATATTAATTGAGCTTAACTTGAAAATTGAAAAATAATTAAATTTAATTATATATTTTTTTTATTGATAAAAAAATACATATTTATAATATATATTTTTTTTTGATTTAACAATTCAAATAAAATATTTATTAATTAATATAATTAATTAAAAAAAAAATTAATTAAAATTTAAAGTAAATTATACTTTAATTATAAATCAATTAGGAAATTATTATTATTTTTTTGTACTTTAGATTATTAATACTGTACAGGGTAAAATTTAAAAATAAACAAAAAATTAAAAAAATATATCCATTTCATTAAATTCAACAAATATTTGCAATAATTTAATAACAAAATATAAAATATTTAGTGATTAGAAAAGTTATTAACATTAATAACTGTTTAGTATAATCTTTAATAATAATATTAAAAAAACTAATAATAAAATATTTTTTAATTAATTTTTAATAATTTTAATCTAAATTTATTATTATTATTATTATTATTATAAGTAATAATAATAATACAATCAGTTTCTTATATATTAATATATCTATTTTGTTATTATTATAACGTCTATTCACTTATTCAAACAAACAAAAAATGTTAGACAACAATGACAGAGAGTGTGGTACTTGTATTATACATAATATATTTAATATAAAATAGATATATACAGTGTATGTGTTTGTATGTATGTATGTGTGTGTGTGTGTGTGTGTGTGTGTGTGTGTGTGTGTGTGTGTGTGTGTGTTGTGTGTGTGTGTGTGTGTGTGTATGTGTGTGTGTGTGTGTGTGTGTGTGTGTGTGTGTGTGTGTGTGTGTGTGTGTGTGTGTGTGTGTGTGTGTGTATGTATGTCTGTGTGTGTGTGTGTGTGTGTGTGTGTGTGTGTGTGTGTGTGTGTGTGTGTGTGTGTGTGTATGTATTTGTATATGTATGTCTGTGTATGTCTGTGTATGTGTGTGTATGTATGTGTGTGTGTGTGTGTGTGTGTGTGTGTGTGTGTGTGTGTGTGTGTTTGTATGTATTTGTATATGTATGTGTGTGTATGCATGTATGTCCAGTGAAAAAACTAACGGTGCGTTAGTTGTCTAAGTAGTTTGTAGTGATATATATTGTATATAAATATATATATTCAATATATTGTATATTGAATTTTCTGTGTGTCCTCTCATCCAACAAGAAAAAAATCATTCAATAAGTGTTTCAATGATTTTTGTTTTGTTGGCTACCAATAGATACACACGTAATATACAGTTATATAATATATATTATATATATATATATATAAGTAGTTTATGTGTGTCGACACACACACACACACACTGATAGTCACACAAGTGATGGACAAACAAATCAACAAATATTTAATAATAATACTAATAATATTATTATTATGTGTAATGTTTGGACACAACAACAACAAAATAAAATTGTGTGTTGACCTGACCTTTCAAGCGCGCGGGTAGGCTGTCATTGCAAGCCTTTTACTATACAACTACTACTGTGTATAAGTATAAACACTGTTAGTGTAATGTAATGTAATTAAGACATGAGTTATGATTTATCGTAAGTGTCTTACAAAGTTAGAGTTAGTTAGTGTGTGTGTGTGTGTGTGTGTGTGTGTGTGTGTGTGTGTGTGTGTGTGTGTGTGATAGAGAGAGAGAGAGAGAGAGAGAGAGAGAGAGAGAGAGAGGGATGAGAGCACTGGTAGATAAATATAACTAATTGTCTGTTAATTTTCTATACAATTTGTTTTTAAGAGGAGATATAATTTTATTAATGAATGGTACGGTCATAACCAACCAATACTACTATAGTTTTAATCCATAGACCAGTTAACCCAAAATAATAATAACAACATCAACAACAACAACGACAACATAACTGAGCGCTAATCATACAATACATTACATACCAGACATATAACTCATTTTGTTATGAGTTATATGTAATAAAATTTAATGTCTTTTAGAAAGAGAGAGAGAGAGAGAGAGGAAAAAAATTATAAAATGTTACCCAAAAAAAACTTAATAACTGTTATTTACTACCAAACAAAAAAAAATCTTCAATACATTTAACCTTTTCATCTCATAATATGAAATATTTATCACACAATATATATATATATATATATAACTACAATACAATTTGTGAGATTAAGTATATGATTTTTTTTGTATTAAAAAATAGGCTTAAAATTACTAACAAATATATAAATTATATATTATATATCAATAGCAAAGAGAGAGAGAGAGAGAGAGAGAGAGAGATTGAAAATAATAGTCAATAGACTATATTGACTGTCCATAGGGTTTGAACCAAAAAAACTAAATAAATTAAATCAACTTATGATATAAAAATAGTAATAATAATAATATAATATTTTTGTTATTATTAAGTAAAAAAATTAGGTCATAATTATACTGGAAATAAATCATATTAATATTATTACTTTTATTTTTTTACTAATATTATTAAATATTAACTAATAATTTAGTTAATCTAATAATTTATTTATTATTTTTTTTTGCTGACTTGCAATTAAATTATACTCACAAAATAGTAAATTATTTATATGTAATAAATTTATTTTATATATATATATATAAAATAAATTTTTGTTTTTTTTATTTTGATTTTAAATGGAAAATAACTACAACAACAAAATTTTATGTCTAGACTTTTTTCAAGTAAAATAATAATAATAATATCAATAAAATTATTATTTAATTTTTTTTATGAATTTTTTTAAAAACATTGAAATAAAATTGAAATACATTATGTACTAATGTTTTTTAGTATTTTACAAAAACAACAAAAATTTACAATAAAATAATTTTTAAAAAAAATAACGATAAGTAAGGATAACTTATAAAAAATATGAAAATTTATATATTATTATATTAAATATATATAATTTTAATAATAATAAATTGTCTACAATTTATAAAATACATTATTATATAGTAAAATAAAAAATATTTTATTTCGGAAATATCATATAATATATATATTATAACACAAATAATATGATATATATATATAACTATTTTATTTTATTATATGATTTTTGTTGTTGTATTTCACACTTTTCCTCACATTTTTTAATCCTAATATCATATCATATTATATTATAGTTCACAAGTGATGAGTTACCCGAAAAAAAATATATATATATAATAAAAAAATTTGTTTCAAATGTCAATTGAAGCCGAAAATTATTGACAAATAAGTAACAGAAAAAAAATAAATTGTATCCTAAATTGCAATCATAGATCTTATACATGATATAGATATCTATCTATCTATATATATATATATAGTAACTATAATATGATATGAAATATATATATATATATATATAAAACTTTAATATATATGTCACACAACAAAAACACAACAAATTGTATTAAAAAATAAATAGATCACAACTTTTTATAACTTTATTGTGATATACTGTATATATACTGTATATATATATATATAGAGACAGAGAGAGAGAGAGAGAGAGAGAGAGAGAGAGAGAGAGAGAGAGAGAGAGAGAGAGAGAGAGAGAGAGAGAGAGAGAGAGTACTGTAGGATATAAATATGGGTATAATATCATTGCAAAGTAGCAAAAAAAAAATATATTAACAAAATTGTCACAATTTTTTTTTATATATATATATATGATATATATTATATAATAGTCACTGTAATCATCATCAGTATTGATGGGGACAGTCATGTGTGTGTGTGTGTGTTGTGATTGATATGTGTCCTCAAAAAAATAAATAAAAAAAATATCAATGACAACACTTGACAACAACAATGTCATCGATAATATAAAATAAATAAATTATTTTTTTTTATTTTAAAAAAATTTATAGTGTATATAAAAAAATTTAGATTTATATAAAATAATACTAAAAAAAAATTATTATAACAATAATAATACAAAACAAATTATTTTTCCATATACTGTATATAAATATTTTTAAACATTTTTTTGGTTATTATTATTATTAAACAATTTTATTTTATTAACCAATAACATGGATATATAAAAATCATAATAATAATAATAGTAATAATAGTTAAAAATAAACTACATATTAATAATGTAATGATAATAACAACAATAATATTAATAATAATAAATATATAATATAATAGTTATGAACACCTCATAATAAAAATAATAATAATTTTATTTTACCAGCACTGGTAGCCAATGGGCTTCAGTAGTAAACTATAGTAATAAATGTCTAAAATACGGGTATTTTTAATATATATATATATAGTACTATATAGTATGATAATAATGTTTATTATAATAATAATAATAATAAAAATACAAATAATAACTGTCCAATAATTTGGTCATCAAATTTACTTTGATTCAATTATATACATATATAATATATATATACAAAAAAATAGATACATAAATATAAATATAATGTTTTTAACGATTGCCATAAATTTTTTCTTTCTAAATATATTTATCTCAATATATATATATATATATATATATATATATTAATAAATATACAGTAAATTACACACACACACAAAATAGATAATAAATAAATTTATATATATTTTTATATATCCTATGGATACACATATATTTAATATATTTATAGCCATAGTTACACAAAATAGGATGTATGTAATCATCTTTATCTAAGCGCTTATATATATATATCTATATAAAGATATATATTTTAAGTGCCAGTAATATATATATATATACACTATATATATATATATACGTATAATCAGCTGATATATAATGATAATCCTCCGGTAAACGCATTACCCGAATCAGGTATTAGCCATTTATTATCCATAATCCCATCCAAGTGCTGGGGGAGGACAGGATGGCAGGGAAGGGGAGATAGGGATAGGCAGGATAGGTATGTATGGTTTGTTTTTGCCTACATATAAAC